TCGTAAGTCAGTTAGAACCGATAACAAGACAGTTATAAATTCATAAATATAAAATTGGAGGTAAATCTGACAGACTAAGCATGTCCCTAATTTGGGTGACTCCGTCATATTATTGTAATAACACAATGAAAAGAGAGTTAATATAAATTGTGTATTAAACCACTAGTTCCCCTGACGTCAGAAACCTCGGGGGTATCGGTAGTCCCCGTGACATCAGAAACATCGGGGGTACCAGTAGTATACAATGGAAAACCGGTTGGGCCTGAAAAATAGAATTTACGGAAATGCAGCAAATCGGCGCGACGAATATTTGACGGTCAAGATTTTTTTTATTTTTTTTCCTGATATTTTTCTCTGAAAGATCACGACCTAATCTACGGACTCTCAAATTTGCAGACCTTTTGATGAATTCTTATGAGCACAAAAAAATCGGCAAAGTTGCCGCCTGAAAATTGTGGGATTGACACTGCTGATGACGAATGGTCGCCGCCCCTCCGTGCAACCCGGCCTTAACTCACAGGGACTGGGGTTTTCGGCGGCGGGGGAATTGGTGGTTTAAATAGGGTGGAAGTAAGGTCAAACATGTCTTTAAATTTGGTGGTAGGACCTCGTGCCAGCAAAAAGAGAAATAACCCATAACTTTACTTATTGGTATACATGTAGAAGTTAAACATGTCCCTAAGTTGGTGGGTTAGTAATGTGTCGTATCGAGGCAGGTTGAACATGTCCCGAAGTCGGGTTGTATTTTGCTTTCCCATTTTGACTCAGTCAAAATTTTGATAGTCTACTTTCAACCAAATTTTACAAATTTGAGGAGTTACTGAAATTTAGACTAGTGAAAGTTTTGACAATCTACACACTCTAAGGGAGATGATGCCAAAGTTTTGACTATTCTCTAATACAGATAATGGAGTAATAGAAAAAGAGTTAGTGGGTGCATTAAGAGACGGAGTGCAAATCAGTCTCCATGTATTTCAAACATAGCGATAATGTTTGACTTGTATTGTGTTGTAGGTCCACTTTGATTAAAGACTCAACTTGTTTCGACCTGATCCCTCAAGGATCATTCAAGTTATCTCTTGTTATCAATTGATAACATCTCGCTTTGCGATGCAACTTGCCAATTTCTGTGTCTTAAACTGAATCTGAAAACCACAATGAATTGTCATTTTATCGTTGAGTTTTTTTACTCAATTTTGTTTAAAAACTTATCTAAAAGTATGAATGATCATCTGTGTAAAGTGAAAAATAATAAGGGGATAATGTATTTTGAGGCAAGGTTTTAGGTGCGAAGAATGATTGAGTTAACCACGTCAGTGCGTAGTACGTGATTGTTGAAATTATGTGGGTACATGTATGCGAGAAATGTTGAAATTTTAAGTTAAAATGTTGATATACCTGTTGGGATGCTAATGGACAAGTCGCATCAATGACTGTGAGAGTGATCATCTGATGTCACACTTTTTTTTTTTTTTTTTTTTCGTTTCAAGGATTCAACCATATTTTTGGTGCGCGATTACTATAGCCGGACACACACACACGTTAAGCATGAGTATGGAGTTTATAACGAGTTGCACGCATAGGCACATCCGACTATTTAGATTCCTTGTTGAGAGTTGTTTGGTGGAATGTGGATATTCTGGAAAAGAATATCGGTGTGTCGCAGATTGCAACACACGACTTCTTATCAGTAAAATAATCCCTAACCACTCTTTTGAGCAAAATGCAAAAGAGGGTAAGATGCACAACGACATCTGCGATTATCTAGCACAATATGAATAACCCCTCAAGACGTGTGTCATCCAACACTTGAGTGTCGAATGCCGTCTTCGAAACCATTGAGGACCGCATAGTCATGGACGCCACATAATACGCCGTCATACTAATCGTTCATGTTTTTACGTATGATCAGTTGTTATGACGATGTCAGCATCGCCTTGCTATTTATGTCAAGCTTCGCGTGCAACGTTTATCTGATCAGTACTTTATGGGACAAATGAGAAAAGTGACTAGGCGCGAGTCGTACTTAAATTTAAGGTTTTTGAGTAAGCATAATATGTTATTAGATTAATCGTCCTGGTCGACCGACGCAGGGTCGCACTTGGGAGATCAACGCCCTAAGTGTCGATTCGTGCATGGGCTCGATTTGGACTTTAGTCGCGTGTACCCCTATGCTACATCGAACGAGAAACGCCATTGGTTGATCCACCTCTGCAACCACACGTAAAAGTCTCGCACGTGGACCAATAGCTCAGTGGAGATACGCCCACGTACATGATGGTGACAACTCCCGCGGGTGGAGGTAAGTTGTACCTCGCGAGGTCCTATCCTGTCATAGGAACTCGTGAGGGGTATGGCTGACGCACTTGGTCGGAGCGGCTTGCTCCTAAGTGCTTTGGGTCAACGAATGCCAAAATCCTGCGTGATGCGGTCGAGAGGGTTCCCGTGAGGGACTGATGTGCTCCACAACGCTCAACGGGCAAGCTCCCCCCTACAACATCTATACAGCTTTGCGACTGTCCCCCGTGGGGTAGCTGGCAATGGACGCAAATGCGCCGGAGTCCAATATGGCAGATCCCGATCGTGGGCACTCAGCCAGCCTGTCTTGCGACAGATGAACCTGTAGAACACAGACGCCCGACCAACTGGGCTACGGCACATTTGCCACCATGCTAATTTTCTATGCATGGTTCGATTCCCAAACTTGGATCTGAACCTTGGCCAAGGTTCCTGCCTGGGGGGACAACCTTTGTGGTGCCAGGACAATATTTGAAGTGCCATGTCTTTTTTGAGGGCACTGAGGTACTCTTCCTCCGAATGGAGTCTGGGCCATGGTGCTGCTGTCCTCAACATATGCTCCCTTCGCTCCACGAACAATCCTACCCAGTCCCGTAAGGTAGCAGGCAAGGCATTTTGGGCTGATCTTCTGTATTCCGTGCCAGATAGCCGGCAAGACATTTTGCTGAGCGTTTCTCTCGGTTCCGCCGATATTGCATGACCGTAAATTCGACGGCAAAGCAGAAGGAATCTCGCGTGCAGCCTTTTTCAAGTTTCCAACACTTCTTCGAAATTTTGAACTTGCCAGGCGCGCGCGCGAGAGCTCAACCGGGGGGATGAGTACATTAGCCCACCTTGCAGCTCTGGCGCGATGGAGAGCACAACACTCGCACGATGACTTTCCCTCACGCATCTAAGGGCAATTACGCCTCTTCCGGGATGCATCTGACTGCGATTACGTCCGGAAACGAGTCAAACATTTGCTACCCTACCATAGTGTGACTTTGCTCAGAGTCGACGGCAATGGCGAGTAGTCTCATGCGTCAATTACAATGCAACGACTGCGGCTGGGAATAGCAGCAGACACGCGACAACGATCTCGCGGGCGGGCGGCGGATCTCTTTTCGACTTTTCGAATTTGCCAGAGGTCCCGCGCTCGGCCCTCCTCCCGCGGGTAAGTTGGCGCCACGATGGGCCTCGCCGCACTACTCACCAAATGCGCAAAATAGAGATCGAATCTTCCTGCAGAACATGGAAATATACGTCCGCCATAGTTTTTGTCTGGCGCCTTGCAGACGACTGCAATCAAGAGAGGTGACAGGGAAACGCGTACAGAAGAGAAATAACTCGTCGGCTACTTCCCTCTCTCCCTCTACGCCCCTCCCCGCCCCTCCCCG